TTCCTTCCTTCCTTCCTTCCTTCCTTCCTTCCTTCCTTCCTTCCTTCCTTCTTCCCTCCCTCCCTCCCTTCCTTTTCCTTCCTTCCTAATTTCCTTCCTTCCTACTTTCCTTCCTCTTCCTTCCTTCTTTCCTTCCTTCCTGTATCATCAGCCATACGGCCTGCATTTTGCTCCAATAACTGGCACACTGTGTGCTTTCGGCAGCCACCTTAAAAGTAATGTCTTTGTAAATGAAATTAAATACACCCCTTGATGGTTGCAAGAATGCGAAAAATAAGCCTCTTTGGAGGTGGCTTTGAAATTTTCCAAATTATGCTTGGGTTGGCTGTGGCCTTTAGGCGCGGTGCCTTCTAAAAACATTCATGGAATTATCCAAGATTTTTAAGGGTGCAGCGGAAATGGAGACCAGTCCTGCAAACGGACTCCCAGGCAGCGGGCCAGAAAACCAGTACAGAGAGATCCTTGTGGCTTCTTGTAGAGAGAAAGGCTAAGCAAGGGGGGGAAAATTGCCTTTTATTATTGTTATTGTAGAAATGATATCGTGGGTGAGAAGGTTCTTTTTGGAGCGGTAGTTTTCACCCTTTGCAACGTCAAGATGCGAGGACTTCGACTCCCAGAAGTCAATGCTGGCTGGGGAATTCTGGGAGTTAAAGCTCACCGATCTTTCCAAATTGCTAAAGAGAATTATAAAATTTCACCAGCAGGAAATCAGAGGTGGCCCGTTGCTTTCTTGGACCTTCCCTGCTAAATTTAGGCACACCGTTCTCCTTTTGAGGAATTATTGTGGAATAAACACAGTGTCAGCAAGTCAGACAGCATTTTGTGTCTGAGGCCCTGAGGAAAATATACCATCCAGCCTAATGGTCTTTTTTTTGTTGCAAATATTTGCATTTAAAAGCATGACACAGATTACTATGCCCTTACTCAAGGAGCACAAGACAGTGCTAGGGAAAGAAAGCAACCCCAATTATTTCCCAGCGATCTTAAGAACGGCGTCACTCTTCCACCTTTGATCGATTGGCCTCTTGCTACTCATCCTAGCTTGATTTTCATACAAGGGTGTTCCTTCCTCGCTAACGCGAGCGTTTATTCAGCGTTATTTTATCTTGGGCTCTGGCATTTTAATTGTAGGGGTCAGGGTTTGACTTGCAGAATCCCCAGAAAAAATGAACGAGATTTAACAGTCCCGAAGGGCTAAATAAGAGCAAACCACCGTTTTGGAAACTTTAGGCCCGGGTGGGATTCAGCCGTTTCAGACCGGTTTCAGCGAACCGGCTGTTAAATTTACATCTGGTTCGCCGAATCGGTTATTGAACTGACCAGCTTGCACCGCCCACCCCGTGGCCCATTTTCGATGCAGGTAAGTGCAGGGCCCCCGCGGAGTCTTTCGGGCGGTGGGTGTGAAAAATGGGCCTTCTGGAAATCTGGGAACAGGCCTGTTTCCGGCTTTCCGGAGGGCCTCCGGAGCTTGGGGGAGGCTGTTTTCACCCTCCCAGAGGCCCGAGGGAAGCCTCCGGACTTTGGGGAAAGGTACAAAACGGCCCTCTCGGAAGTTCCGGTAGGCCACGCCCACCCGGCAACGGGCAGCCAACTGGTTGCTGGGATTTTTTTGAATCCCACCCCTGGCCTAGGTCCATAGCCTAGAGAAGGTTCCAGAAGACGGATGTTGCGTTAACTCACTTCGGCCGGGCTCTCTGTCGGGCAGCAGGAGGGGAAATCCAGATTGCAAGGTGGCCAGCGTTGCAGAATTTGAACACTTGCCCCTCCCCTGGAAAACATCTTTCTTTGGGATAATTTGAAGACCCAGACTGATGGAGGCAAGAGGCTGACTCGGTAAACCGCTTAGACGGGGCTGTAAAGCACTGTGAAGTGGCATATAAGTCTAAGGACTATTGCTATTCCTTCTTTCCTTCCTTCCTTCCTTCCTTCCTTCCTTCCTCTTCCCCAATTCCTTTTCCTTCCTTCCTTCCTTCCTTCCTTCCTTCCTTCCTTCCTTCCTTCCCATTCTCCTTCTTTCCTCTTCCCCAATTTCCTTTCCCTTCCTCTTCCTCTTCCTCTTCCTTTCCTTTCCTTTCCTTTCCTTTCCTTTCCTTTCCTTTCCTTTCCTTTCCTTTCCTTTCCTTTCCTTTCCTTTCCTTCCTTCCTTTCTCCCTCCCTCCCTTCCTTCCTCCCTCCCTCCCTCTTTCCCTTCCTTCCTTCCATGTTGGCACAGTGGTTGAGAATGTAGTATAGCAGGCTAACTCTGCCCTCTGTCAGCAGTACGATCCTGATCGGATCAAGGTAGAGTCGGCCTTCCATCCTTCCAAGGTGGGTAAAAATGAGGACCCAGATTATTGGGAAGACAAGAGGCTGACACTCTGTAAACCGCTTAGAGAGCGCTGGAAAGCACTGTGAAGCGGTCTATAAGTCTAAGGGCTCTTGCTATTGCTATAATCCTATTTATATTACTATAAGCAAAAGTGTGCAAGTGCGTTTTTGTGTGGATGGGTCTTTCAGAGTACATGCTGTCCTCCACTTACAACAGTTCATTTAGTGACCATTCAAAGTTCCAACAGCCCTGAAGTATGTGACTTATGTGACCGTTTTTCACAGTTACGATCTTTGCAGTATTTCCATGGTCACGTGATCAACATTCAGCCGCTTGGTGACTTGACTCACATTTATGACGGTCTCAGTGTCCCGGTGGGGGGGCGGGCGGTCACGGGATCCCCTTTTGCGACCTCCTGACAATCAAAGTCCAGGGGGAAAACCAGATTCACTTAGCGACTGTGTTCCTAACTTAACAGTAGCGATTCCCTTAACAACAGTGACAAGAAAAGTCATTCAATGTGGCCAAAACCCATTTAACAACTGTCTGGCTTAGCGACAGAAATTTTGGTCTGGATTGTGGTCGGAAATCCAGGACTTTCCTGCATAAATCCAGCTCTTAATGGCAGATAACTACTTTCATGAAAGACCAATTCTTATGATGATTATTTTGCTTTTGGTGTTTTTCGCTATTGTTCAGTGTGTGGACCAGCTGATCAGGATCCAGATGGAACTTCAGGAGACCGTCAAAGATTTAGCGAAAGGGAAGAAGAAATACTTCGAAACGGAACAGATGGCCCAAACGGTCCGGGAGAAGGCCGACATTGAGGCCAAGTAAGTTCTCGCGGCCTCCAAATTCTGCGCGGGAATTCCCTTAAGTTTAACTCCATGCGACTCCTTGCCATAACAATTGCAGTGTTTGACCCAGCTTCCCAAACATAACAAACCCTCTGAAACGAACTAATTAAAGATTCCTTTAATTAGGAGCAGAGGCAGCCCCGCCAAAACCTTTCTCACTGCCACACCTATTCATCGCTGCCCCCTGTCTTTTATCCCCAGAGCTAATGTGGGAGGAGCAGTGGCTCTTTGGTCCCAAGGACCGGCCCATAGATTTCCACTGCTCTCCTCTCCTCTGCCTTCTGTGCATCAGGCACTGGACCCGGCTGTTCCTCCTCTTCCTCAACAGCCACCTCCAGACCTGGGGGCTGTTGACTCTCCATCTGAGGGCTAATGGATGGCCCAGGCTCCGCCTCTCTCTCCCTCCCTCCCTCTCTCCCCCTCTCCCTCCCTCTCCCTCCCTCTCTCTATCTCTGCCAGTTCCATTCTCTCTCAGAGTTCCCGTCCCAAGGACCAGCCCATAGATTTCCACTGCTCTCCTCTCCTCTACCTTCTGTGCAGCCACTGGCACTAGGCCCAGCTGTTCCTCCTCTTCCTCATCAGCCACCTCCAGACCTGGCTCTTTGGTCCCAAGGACCGGCCCATAGATTTCCACTGCTCTCCTCTCCTCTGCCTCCTGTGCATCTTCGCGTCAGGCACTGGACCCGGCTGTTCCTCCTCTTCCTCATCAGCCACCTGGCTCTTCGGTCCCAAGGACCGGCCCATAGATTTCCACTGCTCTCCTCTCCTCTGCCTTCTGTGCATCTATGCATCAAGCACTGGACCGGCTGTTCCTCCTCTTCCTTATCAGCCACCTCCAGTCTCTCTCTCTCTCTGCCAGCTCCATTCCTTCTTCCTGCTCGGAGCTCCTGGGTTGCCTTGATGCTGGCCCTGACTCCCACACCTCCTCCTCCTCCTCCTCCTCCTCCTCCTCTGATTCGGCTGCTGGAGACAACATAGAACACTGATGGCGAACCTTTTTCTTGCGGTGTGCCGAAAGTTACGATAGCACTTGGGTGCCGCCACCCACAATGCAATGTGCCCCACTCCCCCTGCGCATGCACACGCAACACCTTCCCCCCTTACCTGTACTGCACGTGCGTGCTCCTCCCAGCTGATTTTTGGCCAGTTCGAGGCTGTTTTCATCCTCCCTGAGGCTTGAGGGAAGCATCTGCAGCCTCTAGAGGCCGAAAAAACAGCCTTCCAGAAAGACTGGAAGTGCCCATTTTCAGCCTCAGGAGCCTGGGGAGACCGTTTTTGCCCTCCTGAGGGGTCGAGGGAAGCCTCTGCAGCCTTGGGAGGCCGAAAAACAGGCCCGTTTGGGCACTTCTGGTATTTCCACAAGGCCCATTTTTCAGCCTCCTGAGGCCGCAAAGGTTTCCCTCGAGCCTCAGGGAGGCCGAAAAAGGCCTCAAACGGGCCGAAAATCAGTTGGGAGGCGCGCGCATGCGCAGTGCAGGTAAGTTTGGCTGGGGCTCGTGTGCCCGCACACAAATGGCTCTGCGTGCCATAGGTTTGCCATCACGGACATAGAATGTTCTGCATTTCTCCATTCAACCTCATGTTTGAAAGAGAGAGAGATAAAAAAAAATAATAGCACATCACCTTCTAAATAACACGGGTCTATTGTATAGATTTTCTGGCCTGGTCACCAGAAATAACTTTTATTTTTTCCTTGGCTTGTTTGCTTGCAGGTCAAAACTTAGTCTTTTCCAATCGAGGATAAGCTTACAGAAAGCAAGCGTAAAAGTAAGTGTGAGAATAAGTTGCACATTCCGATTTCAGAGCTGTGTAATGTCTGGCAGTGGAGACGCAATGCAAAGGGCGCTGTTGTTGTGGAAACTTCAGAACCACAGGTAATCCTCAACTTACAACGGTTCACTTAGTGGCCGTTCAAAGTTACAACGGCACTGAAAAAAACGTGACTTATGGCCGTTTTTCACACTTAACGACCATTAATTGCAGCCTCCCCGCATGAGCACGTGGTCAAAATTCAGGCGCTCGGTGACTGGTTCATACTTATGACCGTTACAGTGTCCCAAAGGCACGCGGTCCCCTTTTGCGACCTTCGGCCGAGCATAATCAATGGGGAAGACAGATTCACTTAATGACCGTGTTACTAACTTATCAACTGAGGCAATTCGCTTAACAGCTGTGGCAAGAAAGGTCGCAAAATGAAGCATAGCTCACTTAACAAGTGCCTTGCTCAACGACATAAATTTTGGGCTCCGTCGTGGTCGTAAGTGGAGGATTACCTGTACAAAAGGTGTTGTTTTTGGTTGTTGTAATTCTAAACTGCTGCGTGTATAGAATAGAATAGAATAATGGAATGAAGAATAGAATAGAATAATGGAATGAAGAATAGAATAGAATAGAATAGAATAGAATAGAATAGAATAGAATATACAATAAGAATAGAATATACAATAAGAATAGAATATACAATAGAATAGAATAGAACAGAATAGAATAGAGAAAGGGAACAGAATAGAATAGAATAGAAAATATGCAATAGAATAGAATAGAATATAGAAAAGGAATCGAATAGAAGAATAGAATAGAACAGAATATAGAAAAAGAATAGACTAGAAAAGAAAATATGGAATAGAAGAGAAAAGAAGAGAACAGAATTCTTTATTGACCAAGTCTGATTGGACACACAAGGAATTTGTCTTTGGTGCATAAGCTCTCAGTGTACATAAAAAATAAAATACATTCATCAAGAATAATAAGGTGTAATGATAGTCATAGTTCACAATAAGCAATCAAATCACACTAGGAAACAGACAATAAAAATCGTAAGGATGCAAGCAACAAGGTTACAGTCATAAGTGGGAGGAGATGGGAGAAAGGAAGGATGGGAGGATTAATAGTAGTAACAGTAGTGCAGTCTTTGTAAATAGTGGGACAGTGTTGAGGGAATTATTTGTTTAGCGGAGTGATGGCGTTGGGGAAAAAACTGTCCTTGTGTCTAGTTGTTCTGGTGTGCAGGGCTCTGTAGCGTCGTTTTGAGGGTGGGAGCTGAAACAGTTTATGTCCAGGATGTGAGGGGTCTGTAAATATTTTCACAGGTCCTCCATGGAAGGCAGGTGGGTAGCCGTTGTTTTTTCTGCGGTCCTAAGACTCCTCTGGAGTCTGTGTCCGTCCTGTTGGGTTGCAGAACCAAACCAGACATTGATAGAGGTGCAGATGACAGACTCCATCCTTCCTCTGTAACGAAGATGAAGTCATTTGCAAGCGATCCACTTCTTACTGCTTTGCAATTATTATATTGCTTTGCAGTTCTCAGTGTCTCTATTGCTACAATTGCTTACCTAATTCTGTTTTACTTTGTCCAGTTAAAAGCACGCCGGTCGGAGTGTAACGCTAAAGCTACTCACGCCAGGAATGAGTATCTTCTCACGTTAGCAGCTGCCAACGCACACCAAGACCGCTACTATCAAACAGACTTGGTAAACATTATCAAGGTAATGATTAATGATTAAAGGCAGATTTAATTGAACTTCTCCCCCATTCCCCCTGTGTTGTTCAATTCTCTTTGACCTGTAATTTTAACCATAATTATATAAGTTATAATCACTGCAAGATCTCGATAATCTTAGAGAGCATTCTGGATCTAAAGTTCAGTGTTCGAAATAGAATAAAGGTAACTGTTTTTCAAAAATGATTACAAGTAGTCCTTGACATACGACCACAATTTAGCCTCAGATTTTTGTTGCTAGGTGAGGCGGTTGCTAAGTGAGCTTTTGTCCCGCATTACGACCTTTCTTGCCACGATTGTTAAGGGAATCGCTCCAAGGAGTTGAGTTAGTCACGTAGTAGTGAAGTGACTCTGGCTTTCCCTCTTTGAGCCCTTGTCAGAAGGTCGCAAAGTAGATCATGTGACCCTGGGACCGTCATAAGTATGAGTCCCTTGCCAAGCATCTGAATTTTGATCGTGTGACCACGGGAGGCTGCAGTGGTCATAAGTGTGAAAAACGGTCATAAGTCACTTTTTTTCAGTGCTGTTATAACTTTGAGCGGTCACTAAACTAATGGCGGTAAGCAGAGGTGGTATTCAGCTGGTTCTGACCAGTTCTGGAGAACCGGTAGTGGAAATTTTGAGTAGTTCAGAGAACCGGCCAATGCCACCTCTGACTGGCTCCGTCCCCATCTATTATCCGCCTCCCATTGAGTCCCAGCTGATCGGCTGGGTCTCCTTTGGTTGCCCTGCACAGGAGAACGGAGCTGGAAAGCAGGTCAGTGGGATGGGGAGGGAAGGGGGATTTTGCAGTATGTTCTTCCCCTGCTACGCCCGCCAAGCCCACCAAGCCATGCCCACAGAACCGGTAGTAAAAAAATTTGAATCCCACCACTGGTACGTAGGTAGGTAAGAGGGATGGATGGAGGGATAGATGGACTGATAGATAAAGAGACAGAGAGAGAAACAGACAGAAAGACTGATAGATGTATAGGTAGACGGACAGATGGAGAAAGAAAGAAAGAGAGAGAGAGGGAGAAAGAGAGAATGATAGAGAGAGAGAGAGACAGACAGATAGAAAGAGAGACAGACAGACATGGAAAGAGAGACAGATAGATAGAAAGAGAGACAGACAGATAAATAGAAAGAGAAACAGATAGATAGAAAGAGAGACAGACAGATAGATGTATAGGTAGACGGACAGATGGAGAAAGAAAGAAAGAAAGAAAGAAAGAAAGAAA